CCTCCCCACCTCAAAGGATGCCACACTCAAGCACCCACCAAAACACAAACGAATCCTCCACAGGCTTCCAACGCCAGGCTTCAGCGCATCGTCTGAACTTCAGCACCCACCTCTCTACTGAGCTCCACCCCTCCTTTCCCCCAGGGCTCAGCCCCTGAACTCCCACCGGTCCCCCACATCCGACATATCCCACAAGGAGCATGCTCTTCCCCCACCTGGGGTGGCTCCTCTCCCTCCTCCCCGTCCCTTTGGACGCCAGGCCCCACCCCCTGATCAGCCACCCACGCTGGACATAGAGTCTGTGGCTCCTCTCAGCGCCGCTGTGGGTGCAGTCCGGCTACCCTCACTTCCCCAAATCCATGCAAATGCTTCTGCAGCCAGACAGTGACGTCACCTCTACAAAATTATCCTAGGTACTTTCTTTGTAAATGAAGAAGCAGAGAAAGCTCGCAGGCTGTGAAGGCCACTGCTCCAAAAGGGGACTGGCCGGGAGCCTTGGCCCAGAGGCACATCAGACCCACGGGGCAGCTGCTGGGGGCTGAGCACGCGTGGGACATTTCTCCAGGGCTGACACCCAGACCTGGTAACTCGCTTTCTCCTGCACTAGTTGGGTTCTGATCGTTACAATAGGCACTTTCCCCGTTCCTATGGGGAAGTTTCTTCCCATTCGGGCTGTGAGCAGGGTCAGAGAAGAAATCTCTGTCAAAGACTTGTTCTGCCTCATTCTATTTTTAAAAGTGGGAATGTTTTATGTGCCACAAATACAATTATGCATATTTTAACCAATGTATATGTCACTTTGCAAAGAAGGAATTTAATAAATGGGAATAAAGAAGAAATACACGTTCTGCTGGTGGATACCTATCAGTAGCTTTCAAAATACAGCCATTTTAAGATAACCTACCTACCTCTCATAATCCTAAAAAGAATTCCCTTTGCATTCTTCAGTTAACTAGCTGAATGAGTCCTAAATCAGAATACACCGGGCCGCCCCCCCAAAAAAGGCCCACAGTTCTCCTGCAGCAGGACTCACTGGGTGCCAAGAATGGTGGTGGGTGCTACCGCAGAGGGTGGGGAGAAACTACAGGTGCATAACAACATGCGGTGCAGAACAGGAGCGTGAGTGCTAAGGCCGGCCAGAGTACAGTGGGTGCTCAGTGGGGTCTATCAGAAACACCACGGAGGGAAGCCAGAGCTCAGAGGGGAGGCCTCCAAGATCACCGGCCACCACGCAAATGTTCTGCTGGAACACACTCTCTTCCATGCTTCGCGAGGCACCAAGAACTAGCTCAAGCTTTCCCTCCCCTCTGGGGGGCTTCCCTGCCCACTCCACCCCGATTTCGAAGCCATTCCTCTCCAGCCCTGCGGCATCTTGTGCACACAGCTCCGTCACAGCCGAATCCAAGCCACCCTGTCCAGCTCTTCCCAGAGAGGGCTGCCGGCTCCTCCAGGGTGGGAACTGCTCTCCCCTACCCTGCGTGCAGGTGCCTGGCACACAGGGGCTCCCAGGGCGTTGGTGACACGACAGAGGAGTGCATGAAGTAAGCCTCGACACTCAGACGTGCAGAGGGAGGAGGAGGGCCTGAATCTCAGATCCTTCTAAGTAGGGCAAAAGGTTCAGGTGAGGTAGACACACCGTCAGGAACTCTGTCTGCCGGCCTAAGGAATGTGCTCTCCATTCTGTGCCAAATGGAGCCACTGTGGGTGTTCGAGGACAGGAATGACGTTTTGAAATCAATGGTTTGGGAAGATTAATCTGGCAGCCACATCTACAATGGCTTGCGACCTGTTTCGAACAGGCTATTTTGAAACAAGTAAAGGCTACAAAGCAGCTCTTGTGTGTTAGAAAGATTTGGCTCTTACTCACAATAGCAGCCCCCAAAACTAACTGCACACACACACACACACACACGAAAGATTTAATCAAGTATCAGTGCATTTTACAATGACAGCGTAATTACATACCAAGACAGAGCAACGTAAAACTATCTCAGACCACTTCGTACGCCCCTCACAATGACATTCAACCAGAACTGGCAACCCTTCCTCTCCCAATCCCACGTCCATGCTGACAAATCAGCATGCCAGGGCTGAGGAGCGGCCGAGGGAGAAGAGAGACGACTGAGCGCTCCCCCTGGGATGGCCTGCTCCAGGTGAGGCCCCTCCAGGGTGAGCGTCCCCCAGGCTCCGGCCACCCCGCTGGTCCTCTGCACTTGCCGGCCACTGTGAGGTCCGTGGGGAACCAAGTCACCTGGATGGGCGCCTTGAGGCAGCCTGGGCTTCCAGTCTGGCTCCCGGGTCCCTCACATGCCGATGGAGCAAAGTAAGACTCCCAACCTGACCTTGTCCCCTACTTGGCCGAATGCTGTGACAACACACGATGTTATGTAAGTGAGGAGTTGAGGTACAGCTGAAATGAAGCAATTCCAGTAAATTAATGTTCCTACAGTGGTTTACACAAACATTCCTGTGCTCACAGTTTTCTGTTTCAAAATCATAAGACTTATAACATCTCTGCTGTGTGACCAGGAAGGGAAGATGGAATTTGAACTGCAGGTCTACTTATAATTTTAGTTGTAACTTCTGTATGCTGGTGACTCAAAATCTTTGCCCTTTAAAAGGTTTGTGTTCTATGGGCAGCCGCTATCTACACGCTCAGTGAGGGCAGACAAGAACAATGTGAAACAGAAATAATTCACAGTACAGGGGACTGCATGGGTTTAAGTTCTAGGTCAACCACCATGGTGAAAAACAGAAAATAAAGAATGTGTTTCACCATTATCTGCCACATCTTTCAGAATGAGGCAAAAATGGTGATAGGAGCAACAGAATGTTCCTATTTTCAGGGTAACAAAAAAAAGTCTTTTCCCAACCTAATCAAAAAATTAAATGTACAATTCCCTCCAGCAAGAATTTTATTTTTAATTTTCATTTACATAGTATCTTTCGTCCAAGAATCTCAAAATAATGGAGCTCCACAAATACTTTAAAAGAAAAAACAGTTGTCACAACAAAGGAGGGGACAGGCTTGGCAGGGCAGGAGCTCAGAAGAGGGGCAAGAAATGCCAGGCAGTGGGGACGCAGGAGCTCCGGGCTGGCGGCGCCCTGGCTGAGGGGGGCTTCGGAGCGGCCCTTCCTGTACCAGCAGCCCACCGGCCCTGATGAGGTTTGCAGCTTCAGGCTCTTCAAGGAAAGGATTTACCTTCAGTGTCACTTACTAGCTTCAATCAAATTATTTTGATCTAAATAGCTATTTCTTCCCTAAAAACAGGAGGGAAGATGGCAATAAACCAAAGACCCTCACAGGTCCAAAGTAACAACTGAATCAACATGCCTAAAATGAGCTCAGATTCCTTTTGGTCTTAAAAACATAAAACTACGTTAGAAAATAAAATATTAACTTATAAGTGGCGAAGATCCAATATAAGAAAGATTATCTTGCTTTTAGGGGTAAATTGGGAAGAAGCTTTTGAGAGGGTTGTTGTTTTTGGGTTTTTTTTTTTTCAGTTAGGTGGACAGGATCTGAACATCTCACATTTAGCAAAAAGCTGTCAACACCCAAATAAAATTTTAATGACAGCAAGAATGGCATTCTATTTTTCACAATTTCGCAATGTTCACTTAAGAAAGAGCTAATTTGTCAATTTGTTTTTCCCTTAACCAAATTCAGAACAACTCAGACCATATAAAACTTTTTAAAAAACGTTAACTGCTTTTACTTATTGAATAAACACAGCCAAATAGAAAGATGTCTTTAAGAAAACGGGCCGCATGCTGGTACACTCAGAGTAGCACCAAGAACAAGCCTCAGAGTGAGCTCTGCTAATTTCTTCCGAAATTAACATGGTAAATCACAGAGTCAAAAGTACCCAGGATTTCCACTGTCAGCTGACTGAGTCAGCCACAAGCAAGGCCCAGTCGCCTCCCATGTTTTCTAAAGGTGTGAGCCACTTGGTCGGTATTCCCAACTCATTTTCACAAACGCTTTAATGAAGGGAAGCAGAATCTAGTCGGTTTCATGTGGATCCTACCCAGCTGTTTTCCCAGTTGCTTTGCAGTGTTTGGTAAATCCGCGGGAGGAACGAACACTCCTAGCCCCATTCCTTTCCAGCCACCTGTCTGATGGTGTTCCTGAGGAACAACTTCAGGGATGGGGAGTGGGTTGTCCTCTGAGCAGGAATGCGTACCATGGGTTTGAGGAACTCCCTGGGCTGCCCATAGCCCAGGGCTCTAACAAACACAAAAATTCTGCCGACTGCCCTGGGCCTCCCGCAGTAAAGAAAAGCCTTCAGATTCAAATGAAGAAATTGACATTTATTTTGTGCACTAACATCATCCTATCGGAATTTAATTGCAGCAAGAATCAGAATTATTTTTATTAGAGAGTGGCCTACTTTTCAAAGGAGAGGTTATTGACGGGTTTTGCTACAAATTAGCTGTCTTTCAGAAAGAGTTGTTTGCCCTCGTTATGTTTTTTAACTGTCACATTACATGAATAGGGGAGCACACGCACTTCGTAAAACTCTTTAAGTCACAGCCCAGGTGCATTAGCCCAGGTGCTTCAAAGCTGCTTCAGGGGTGGCGCAAATGAGGGCACGCCACAGGTCCCCCTCAACCCCAGGTAACTTCCTGCAGGGACACCTCCTGCCCGGCCAAAGACCACTCTCCTCTACCAACGTCCTCAGAAGACAGCTGAAAAGTAGGGCTTGTTACAGCTCAGCAAATCCAGAACTGTGCCGGGACCAACAGCTCACTACAAACCTCAGCAGTCCTCTCCAACAAATCTAAACCTAAACACCAACTAAAAGTTGGTTCTTAAACATACAGCAAAACCAGGGCTGTCGTGGCTTTGAAAAATAGAATAGGAAAAACGATTTAGACAATCAATTAGAGGGCCCCATCGCCAATATCTGATTCAAATAGTCTCCTATTTTTGTGGTTGCTGTTTAAGCTTAAATCTCTAAATGCAGAACTTTTAGGGAAAGCTGTTTCTCTCTGAATTCTAGTCATTATCAGGGTATAATAAAATGGACTCCAAATGTACATGACAATACATGTTTATTAAATCAGAAATTACAAATGAACTCACAACTTCTTTGCTATAAAAGTTACATAATACAGATATTAAATCGCTTGCCTAATTATGCCAGGAAAGTTCCTTTTTCACCCCATGATCCGCATGCACAGTTCTCCCAGGCATCCAAGCATACGGAGGCATCTCGTCCCTAAAATGCCCAGCATGACTGGAACGTCCAGGTAAACAGTAGTGGGCCACAACGAGAGGTCATGGGGCCCCTCTTCAAACAGCTTCAACAAAATGAACGGCCATAAGTAAAAAGTGTCTCAATGCTTTGCTAGAATAAGATTCAAACACAGGATTCCAAGAATTCCACCTGTTTCCAATTAGATACCAGAATTGCTTGAGTGTTTAAACTACATTCACTTGCTACTTATACAAAACAATTCTTCCGGGTTTTTTGAACATTTTAAGTATGTTAAAATAAGATTAAGGGTCTGGTTTAAACAATCAGAGGCAGGGGAATTTCAGTGGAAACCAAAACTCTCTCTGTAGCCATAATGCAGAACTTCAGACAAAACAATAGGACGAGATACATGAATTTCTATCTTTGACAACTGTAAAAATCAGACCTTTCATAGGGACAGTAAGTATATACTTTTTAAAAAGTTATACATTAAATAATTATAAATAGGTTTTTTAATGAATCCTAAAATAATGTCTGATCCTATATATTAGAATAACTTTTACAGTAACTTTTAGGCAGCATTCGTGTTACAGTTCATCAGACACACCAGTCTTTTAAACATGTGACATTTACACGAGGCCAAATGTGTGGACCACACGAAACGGAAGCACAGGAGGAATCCAGCCCAGCTCTGCAGGATTTTTCACATGATGAATTTCTCTTTTTAAAAACGTACAAGTTTTCCTCTAACAAATTTGTCCTTCTTTCATTTCACTGCAGATGCTCCTTGGGCTTTATAAATGAGCTGAAACGAGTATGGATTTTCTACTCTGAGCCTTGTTTTCTCTAAGACTCAGAATGTGAGCGCAGCCCCGGGAGCAGTCTTGACTGCTGACTGCTACAGGCAGACCCAGAGGGGGCCTCGGAGCACAGACTCCCGCTTCTGCTCAGCTCATGCATAAACCTGGTGGGTGTGTTTTAATTGTATGCAATAGGGCAGAGGACTTTTTCAACAGCCACTAAAGGTCCTGGGACCAATCAGCTCCCCAGACAGCATTTTTAAGGTTAGCTCAGTGGAGAGGAGAGAATACTTCCTGAGGGGATCGGCCATGTGTCACCTTTTCCTTTCCAACTTTCTCATGTAGCTAACTCCTGGCAGGAGATGTGTGGAATTGAGGAAACAGGTGAAGAGGGTCTTTATGGACCTGACTGTATCAAGAGTTGTTGCATAACTCCATCCCTTCACTGACTTGCACCTTCAAAACAAAAAACCCTACATAGTTTCACACAGAAAAAAAAACTTGAATCAACTGGTAATGACCCCTTCCCACACCCAATCTCAAAGACACTGATATTAAAAGAACCAAGGAAACAAAGACAGCAGCTGTGAAGGAGCCTTCGATCTGTTTACTCACTATCTTGAAAAGGGTACTAGATGGGACACATATTTTAATCAAAATAATCTACTTCTCAAGGGGAACAGTCCTGAAGAGCCGGTAACATACACACATCCACAGCAGGAGAAAGCAAAATAAAAGCAACCAGAAAATGGACTTTTCAGCAAAACTGAAATTATTTTCTTATTTTGAAAAAGAGGAAAACGTTTCAAGTTTCCTGTTGCAGAGGCTCCTTAAAGGGAATAGGCACCGTGTAGGAATAATGCCTCCCACGGACGCCAGTCACTGGCAGGCCCCATCCCCAAAAGCTTCACTAACATCCAGTTACATGAGCTTGTTTTACAAAGTGTCCTCTTTTCAAACGTGTATTTAAAAGGAAAATTTATACAATGGTGTTTTTCTTATTTAAAAAAAAAAAAAAGCCTGGTTTTTACAAGTCTGGGATAGGATAAAAACTTGTCCAACTAGTCTTAGCAACACCAGAGCACTGAAACTTCCATAGCACAGCCTTTGGGACTAAAAAGGAAATAAAATAGACCTCAGTCTTCAGAAACTCTCTTCCTGGGCACTCGCTCCACGTCCCAAGGCAAGCTTCAAGACACACCATCCAGAGGGGAGACAAGCACACAGCCCCTGCTCGGGGGGTCGAGGCAGAGGCCCGCCACTGCCTCATCTCGCCTGGACCTGTGAAGTCTCTAACTGGATCACCGTCTAGCTGAGAGCGGCCTGTTACCCTCAGGTGGCAATGCCAAAACCCGCTCTGGGCTTTCAGGCAACCCGGTCTCTGTGTAAGGGGTTCCGGAAAGATGAGATGGGTCTGAAACGAACGAATTCTCTCTTCTCAAACTGCAGTCTCATTGGCTCACTGACTGTGGGAACAGAGATGACCCTCAACTAGATATCAACTCAAAAGGCCTCTTCAGGGCCCAGGGAAAGAACCAGTTTAGCCTTATACTTGAACACTGGTGTTCCACAGTTAACTGAAGTTTTCAAACATGCGATGAAGCAGCGTCTAAGGCCCAATCATCACCCACCGTCCAAAGCCAGAGAGTGCTCAGCAAAGAGAAGGGTGCTCACATAAAGGGCTGTTTTATTCAACATCTGAACGTTCATTCACAGAAACTGACCGGAAACTTTTCGTCGAATCCTGGAGTTACACAGTTAAACGTCCTCATGACACCCCGAAGAAGCAGCTAATCACTCGGGGGGGGGGGGGGGGGCGGGTAGTTCATAAAACTAATAACTCTCTAGAAACCAAATCCATCTCCCAAACAGTTTTGCCAGCATGCTTAAAAAAGAAACCTCATTGATATTAAGCTAGAATGTCACATTTAGCAAGACAAGTGGAAAAAATTAAGGTTTGTCTCTTAAAACTCCACAACGGGTTTTACAGTAAGCACAGGAATTAAATTATGATAAAAGGGAGCTATTTTTACTAAAACGGGGTAGACCAATTTATCAAAAATGCCATTCGGCTGTGTTCATTACATTCAGGAATCTAATTTACACAACAGACACTTTGGAGTAATCTATTTTAGTCAATAAATACTCAAACTCCTTTAAGTTTTAATCTTATCGGAAATACTTCACATAGTCTTCTTCCTAGTTAAGCGAGAAATGAGAAGAAATTTCATAACGACTATGAGTCTGCTTTATCGTTCTTACGCAGGCAAGAGCAGAAAACAAGCATATACAATTAAAGTTGTCAGACTCCATTTATATACGTTTTAATCCAATCCGCTGCGTTTTATACAAGTCTGCATCTGGAGTTCATTTGCTTTTCCTTCTAAAAGTAGTGCAGGTCACTATCACCAGTCCTCCCGGTTGGGAAAGTTCAGCCAAGTTCACCTTCACGCACACCTTAGAGCTGGGAGCAGTAGCCGGCCCCGTGGACGCTGAGGGACCACCCCCCACCCCGAAGCGCCAGGACGCCCTGGCTCTTCTAAGCTGCCGACACCCCCACCACCGCCCCCGGCCCCCGAGCGCTCACCGAGCTTCTGGCCCACAGGCCGCTCACCTTCAGCTTGGCTCCGGCTACACACAACATCCACCTGGCAGAGTCCCGGGGCTGTCCAGGTGCCGCGAGCGCGGAGCTGGCAGGTTCGGGGCGGACCCCGAGGGTGCGCCGTTCCTCTGAGTGCGGGCTGGCAGGCAGGAACGGGGCCCCTGGGCGCGGCAGCGGCTCGGGAGCCCGATGGGGAGCCCCGGCGGGATCCCCCCGCGGCGCCCGGGGATCGGCGCGTGGACCACAGTCCGGCAGGCCGCAGTCCAGCGGGGCCCCCGGGGCTTTGCTTTCGAGAACCCGATCCGAGAAGGCATTTCGGAACGGACACGCCGCGCGCTCCATGGCGCTCGCAGACCGTGCGGGGAGGGCAGGGCCCCCGAAAAGAGGGCCTGCGTGGAGCGGGCGGGTCACTGGGGCCCGCGGGAGCCCCTGGGCGCGGGAAGAAGCGCCCCCCGCCGGGGCAGACAGCGCGCCGGGGCGCAGCGCGGGCCTGCGCTCGGGGAAAGTTGCAGCCCTGCGCCCGCGCCCGCAGGGCGCCAGAACCACGGGCTCCGCGCGCGCGGGGCGCCCCCGCCACCCCTCGCAAGTTTCCCCAAAGCGCCCCTACCGGGGTCCCCGGCTGCGGAGGGGCCGGTCCGCGACACGCGTGCAGGCACACAAAAGAGCCGGGCGGCTGCGGGTCTGCGGGGGGCCCCGGGGCGCCCGCCCGG